CATCGGATGTGCCGCATTAGTCTGTACATTCTCACATGTTAAACTAAACTAGAGCGTCTTTATTTTGCATATTTCAATATCACTAATATTGTGAGTATAGAGTACTGAATTATTTCCCTCGAAGTGTTCCTACTGACAATATTAGGGATGTTGAAATATAGAAAATAAAGACGCTCTAGTTTAGTTTAACATGTGAGAATGTACAGTCGAAAGCGGCACATCCGATGGCAAAAAACCCAACCGCTTGAAACTATAATATCCTTGAAATCTAAGGCTATCAGAGTGATCTTTCAAAATGTAAAATCGATCTAGCTCTTGAAATGAGGTCTATGGCGGAAAATGCTTTATGCCATCGTAATCAGCGCATCGAGCTCCACAACATGATATATATTACATTCGAAAATCAGGGGTAATAGGAAAACATGATGACATCCACAGACAGTACACGGACAGCACACAGACAGCTACACAGACAGCATAAAGATAGGCGCAGACAACCAAAATTAACTGCACACACATCCAAACACATCTGTGTAGTTATTTTTGGTTGTGTGTGGCTGTCTTTATACTACCTGTGTGGCTGTTTGTGGATGCGTGTGTACTGTCTGTGGGTGTCTTCATGTTTTACGATTACCCGAAAATCAGTGTGGCACTTGAGGATCTTTCCTCGTCAGCGTTGTGTACGGTACCGAAACAAATTAGAATTATAGCCAGTAGATAAACACGTTCTAAGGAATAGAAAATTCTATTTAAATCTGATAGGACTTTCGTCCTTTTCCCTCGAGTTCAAAGAGTTAAAGATAATAACATTTCAATCGTATAATTTGTTTGGACAGTTTTCCAACTCGTTTAATAGTGAAGTTTGATGAGATAGTATAAAAAACAATAAAAAAATGTTATGACAGTTGCTGAAAACATATAGTATTTGTTTTGAAAAAGTATACTTTTTCCGTTAAAGCTTTGTTATGCATGATATCTGGTTTTATCATAGTATCATCTTCACTGTAACAAGAAATGGAAGATTTTCACCTTCTATCTAGATGATGATATCGTTGATGTCATTTTTAGATTAGGCAATTTTTATATTTATTTTTCTCACAATGGCATCACTGATAAAAAATCAAATAATTAAAAGATTATCCAAGTAAGTTTTTTGTACCATTATTTTTTACTTTTCAACATGAAAACTGTTATTATTATTGCATTTGTTTTGTTTAGATTTGTAAAAAATTTATCATCAAATCAAATTAATTTGAGTACATTTAAAGGCGAAGGTGAATTATCGAATATTGAGTTAGATGAAAGAGCTTTAGAAGAAGTTACAGAATTGCCAACATGGTTAAAAATAAAAAAAGCCAATTGTACTCGAGTATTTATTAAAGTAAGGTGAATAGAAGATTAGTCAAGAGTTGTTTTCAAAAAAAATTCACTAACACTTTTAAGTTCAATTGAACTCTTGTTTAGATTCCATGGACAGGATTAAAAACACAACCAATACAACTGGTTCGTTGAATAGATCGAAAATGATTCGTTTGAATTTAATTTAGTTTATTTTTCTAGCAATTAGATGATGTAACAATTCAAATTGAAACATGTGATGAATTGAGAAATTTAAATGAAAGTGAAAATCTTAGCCCTCAAACAGGAGATAGGTAAAAATAAAATTGATTTGATACTTACATGATCGATAAATCAAAAAATATTCTTGTACTCCAGTTATCATATTGTGTGCAAATCTGTCGTTCTAATATAATCACATCTATATCTGTTTTATTTGTTTTAGTTTGGCGGGTAAATATGGTTTCACACATCGTGTTATTGATGGTATATCGTTATCAATAACAAATGTAACATTTACCGTTAAATCAACTGGATTTCACGCCTCAATATTTGTACGTATTGTATTGAAATATAGTTTTGTTATTTCATATTCACTTACTTCGATTTGTTCTAGTTACCAACTATTGATATTTATAGTACAACACCGGTTGGAAAAAAAACTGATTCATTAAAAACGACACGTTTAAGAGATTCAACAAAAGAACATATACTCTTGTTCAAAGTAAGACTTAATATATGTTACAAATCTAAACTATTAAATAATATATATGTTATATATTCAAAGGAAATCTCTTGGCCTACTGCTCGAATCGAAGCAGCTTCCAATGATAATAGTATGGTTGCTGCATCTATACGTTTAATTGCTAATTCGTCTCGAATAAGAATTATTATGAAAAAAAGTTTAAATGGTACGTTTATAGAGTACTGGAAATAATTATAGACACACCGTATTTTTGAAATTTTTCAATGAAACCGAGTAGCTAGGTGAAATCTGAATAGTGATTTGGATAGCCCTTGAAGTTCTCTATCAAATACAGTATGTGTCAAAATTTCAGAAAAAAGGCTTTGAAGAAAGTTTTCTAGACAATTCCCTCCAGCGGAGCTGTAAGTCCTAGATAATTTTGCTAAAAATATTTTCAATATAGCCATCTAAAAGAGCATAAAATTCTGAAAAAAATGAAACGTCGCACTGCTCTCCACGATTTTTCACTGCAAAGTAACAGGCATCAGAAAAATCCAAAGAAACAGTATAATTTACGAAAAAAACGCTAAAAATCGCCTAAAAAAAAAACAAGCAGAAACACATTTCTCTGAATTTCCTGATGCATACTGCTTTTGATAGAGAACTTCAAGGACTATCCAAATCACTATTCAAATTTGACTTAGCCACTCAGCTTCATCGAAAAATTTCAAAAATACAATTATAGTGTATAATTGTGAAACTCGACTTGAATCATTATGTTTAGTCAAACAACCGCTTTGTAGTTACTAGAGACTCAGACAGAATTCATTTCTGAAAGAATCAAAAGAAGATACCGCGACCGGTTTCGACCTTTCTCAAGGATCTCGTCAGATGGTTTCCTTCGAGAAAGACAGAGTTAAGGCACGACAAGCAACACAACTCCATCACACCGTATGAGAGTGTTAATATTCCTTGTTCTTATCGAACAAAGAACGATAACTTTTCACAATTATATATGGTTTATTCATTCAAAACCGCACAAAACTCGCATATTAAAAATCGGAGAATTGTGACTAATACTGTCTTTCTCCACTATGAACGAGCATGACTATTAAAAGGATGGGTGACCACTTCTGAAGATCAAGCCATGCATTATTATGGAGTTAGTCACTATAGAGTAGAGAATTGTGACGAAATGTCTTTCTCTATTATATCAAAACTACGATTAGTAAGAAGATGGGTGACCACTGCCCAAGATCGAACCATAAGTATGGTGCTTTTCACATTTATCTCAACGGTTGTTGAGTGAAAGTTACTAGATACAGTTTAAGTTTAAAAGGATGAATCATTTCTGATAGAATAAAAAAGAAATTTTAAGAAAGAAGCAGAACATGTGCATTGTACAGTGATATCGTGCTTCGTTCTCGTCGTGCGAAAGTTATCGTTCTTTGTTCGATAAGAACAAGGAATATTAACACT